AAAAAACTTTTCACTATAGCATATAAAAAAATTATTTAACTAATCCTCTTCCATAAATTCTTCGCTAATACTATTTACTGAATCTTTATAACTATCTTCTGTTTCAGTCCTATTCTCTTTTTCAGCTGTACTCTCATTTCTAATAAACTCTATCTCTTTTTGTTTTCTTAATACTTCTCGTATTTCAGCCTCTATGATATAATGTAGTACAACAAAATCTGATACAAACAAACCTTCTAACTTCTACTTAGCTAATTTATTATTAGCCAGATGAGTTATATTTTATACAACTAAATTTGTAGTAGAATCGGCCATGTCTAACTCATCTTCATCTTCATAAAGTTGGCTCGTATCTTCTTCCTCATCTACTATAGAAAACTAGGTTTCTAATACTTCTGACTATTCTGCTACATTTGAAATATAACTTCTGCTTGCTTCATTAGATAATTCATCATCATCATCTAGTTTTAGGCTCTTGGTTATAGGAGGTGCAAAATTAGAATTTATAAAATTTATATTATTTTTAATTTTTTCAATTCTATTTTTATAAAGCATTGAAATACGTAATTTACTCATATTAAAAACTTTTTCTGGCTATAAATTAAAGTTAGTATGAATAATAATAACTTTACAATAAATAATAGCAAGGAAAAACTAGAATTTAGATTTTTACATTTATAACTTAGACTATTTGAATTTAAAGATTCGTTTAACATTTTTTTTAAATTTAGGTTTGAGAGGAGAGAAGGCTTAAACAACCATTAATTAAACTGCAGAATATTAACATAATATATAATTATAATATGATTTAAATATTATGATTGAGCTTGTTTAATTTAGAAAAAAGTAGTTACTCAAAGTAGGAAAAAACATTAAACAAATTTTTAAACTCAAATAGCCTTACTAAGTTTAGTAAATTATAACTAAATCTAATAAGTTATAATTTTAAAAGTCTAAAGCCTTATTTCCTTTTAACATAATTTATACTTACACTTAATCGATTTCTTTTTTTAGTATGAAAAAAACCCATAGACGAAAATAACCTCTCAACAGATATACTATTAATAAATATATCATGAAGCCTTAATGCTACTGAAGAAAGCTTATAATGAATTTCAGCACAGTATTTCCAATATTTTAAAATATCTCCCTCAAATTGATTCCATTTATTTTTTGAAAAAGGGAATACTTCATCTTGATAGTCTTGTATTTCAGCTATAATTTTTTTAAGCAGATCTCCAAACCAAGCATAATAATAATATATAACCCATCTTCCTATTTCAGCAAATGTAATACTATCAATTAGTAAATTAAATTGAGTAAGGCAAATATCAGGATGAAGTAAATAACTAAGAATTAATAAAGGTTGTTCCCATTCTTTCCAATGTCTTTCTAAACATTCTGTCATTTTAATGCTAAAAGTAACATCAGAATATTGATCCACTAACTTATAAATATAACTATATGTATGTAATACTTTATAAAGACGAGCTGTATAAGTTTGAAGCTGATTTAGACAAAGACTTAAAGGTGCAAGTAAAATATGTAACTCTGATATTGTATTTCACCAATCATTATCACCAATTGGTTCACAAATATTACTAGGTAAAGTTAGATCATCATCTTCAGGAGATACATACTTTGTGGCTAAAGACTATAATATAAAATATTAATAAGCAAATTATATAATACTTTTTAAATAAATATAAAACCTTACAATTTAAATAAATATGAAACCTTATAATTAAAGATGCTTTTGAACGTAAAAAACTACTAAGTGCTTCATAAAAACTACACCATCGTATATCACTTGGATGAATTAATACAATATATTATTTGTGCACTATTTTTTGTTCATCTCTTAGTTTACCAATAAAGTAAGAATGAATAGAATTATTAAAATAATTGCTTATTTCAATAACTTTTTTTAATAGCATTATTAAATTTATGATTTTCTTTAAAAATATCACTAACAACTAAAT